ATTACAAAGTAATTGTCACGGCTTACTGTTGTCAGGGCCACCAGCATAATTGCAGAGCCCCCGGGTGTCTCTATACTGAGAGCAGCTTGATAAACCTTTCACTGACAGAGAAGCAAGAAATGCAAGAAAACCGCCTTACAAAATGGCTTTAATCAATAGTTTGCCAGAAGGGTGAGCACACCTTTACAATATATGAAAGAAAATGAAAAAAAGAAAGTACAAGCGTATACAGCGCTCTTTTCTTAGGCCACTAAGATTTTTAACCTTAAAGTGTTTCTGTTTAAAATTTTATTCACTTCATTCAATTTAAAATCACTTTCATCTAAGAAAACTACAGTAAATTTAGCTGAAATAGCCGCTTGCTAGTTTTGCAGTATGGAGGGGAATATTATACTTGTATCCCAATCCTCAAATCCTCAAATTATCAATGAACTTGATTTAAAAAAAAATTATTTTTTTACAAATACATTGCTAAAAATTAAACATATAGAGGCCCAAAAATACCAGGAAACTGTATTGTTCCTGGTATCTCAGGATGCCCCATGTGTCCTCATATAGAATGAGGAAGTCTGCAGCACAAGGCAAATTAGGTACTGACCATGCATATAAACAACATTGTCTAATTTGTGCTCTCACCCCTAACCTAGGTTGAGATTTCCCATTGCAGGGGCTGAATGGGTGGGGAATCAGGTAGAGCCTCACATTAGATACAATGGGTGATATGTATAGAAATTGTTCTGTTATGAAAGGTGATCTAAAGTTCTAAAAGTGTGGTGGTCACCATGGAAACCATGTGGAAACAGCAGACATATTTTATTGACTCCGCCCCTTTTACATGTTTGCATCACTTTTAAGAACAGACACTTTTTATAAATAACCCCCAATCTTTTTTATATTTAAAGTGTTGCTGAACCCTCTTTTCTGCTACAAAATGGCCTCTTCCCAAGCAATTCTAAAGCAAAGCAGAATAGGAAGCAAATAGATGAATTTAAATCCAGTTGGTAAATGATCCTTTGCTCTGTTATCTGCTACATTTGTTTGTTATTACAGGAAATCGCAGGCTTCTCTTCAAGATGGCGGAAAATGGAAGTCAATGCTTTTAAAGTTAGACTTTTAGGAAAATTATTGAAAAGGAAACATTGTGACAACTAAAGTAGTGATTGCAATGTTCTTAGTTATAAGTTAGATTTGGAGAGCATATGAATTGTTTCCAGTTTCCATTTATATATTATTCAAATAACAAATTACAATTTTATTTTTTTCCTCTTCCAACAAACGTGCATATATTCCCTTTTTCGCAGTCTACTAGGTCCCTTGGAACAAATACGTGATTCTTTTCTCAGATTCAACTCATTAAGGGTCCAGTGGATACACTCTAATCCGATACATGTGTACAGAAAAGTGTGGAAAGGGCATAGTTCATTTAGAGTATGTGTCTTGAGTGTAGGAGCATGTCTCTTAATATGTGTGGCTGTGTATTTGTGTATGTGTTTGAGATTGTATTTTTGTATGTGTACAAACATTTCATTGTGTGTTTGAAGACATTTTCGCCTTTTTTAGTGTTTTTACGTTTTTTTAAATTTTTTTGCACTTTGTGACACAATATATTAAATCATTTTTTTCACCTGTTGCTTCTTTTGTGCCCTGGTCGTCATTTCTGAATGTAAAGAATTTGTTCATCGGATTTATAAATCTGTCCATCGTTTGCTGCCAAAGTGTTGCATTTCATTTCTCTTTTTTATATCCATTTCAGATTTGGCAGTCTTACTGAAAATCATATTTTTGAAAAAAATTGCATAATTTAGGCAGAGAAAATCTAAAACTTTAAATCATTACAGATCTCAAATAAAGAACTCATTTCAGAACACTCAGATACATCCCCCATTACAAGTGTGTACATGGCTATCTTTGTATGTGTGTGAGATACTACTTATGCATGTGTACCTAAATATATATGCAAGCATGAGGGTATGGCTACTAAGATTTGTAGGTGTGATTCCACGTGGTGAGGAATAGGGAAATATTTTATTCTTGGACCCAACCAGCAAAGTATCCCACCAACATTACAAATTAAATGCTGTAGCTTAAACATTATTCCTGTGAATGATATATTTACTTTACACTTTTACTGTACTGTTGTAATGCTGTAGGGTAGAGATCTGTAGTACAGTAATGTGAAGTGTGTATGAATATATGTTGTATTTATGTGGAACAAAAACTGCCTGGGGTTTTATGGTCAGATCTATAAAAACAATTTACAGGTTTAATGAAAGAAGTGTAATTTGTTGGAAATTAAAAGTGAAGCTATATTGAATTAGAAATTGTAGGTCTAGTCAACGTGGAGACTTTTTCCAGTTTAACTGTAGTGGCCCAAAATTCTAAATTTACTTTGAATTCCCTTTGCATCCCCAAAACATCACACTTTAGTAAATAATTGTATGTGAATATTAGGTAATAAAGAAGAAGAAAGAAAATCCACGTTTCATTTTGCAAAAAGATTTGTGGAAATCTAAAACGTACTAAACAAATCACGTTTTCAGTCATTTTTCAGGATGGTTTGGTATACTGCGACTTTCTTATTTAGAGATAAACAGCGTCAAGGAATTTGCTGGCGCTATATAAATAATAAAATAATAATAATAATTTTTAAAAGTTACGGCTACAGGGAGAATGCAGTCATTGATGTTGCTTTGTACAACAAGGAAGTGTCTCTGGAGGTGTCAGAGTTCTAACATAAAAAAAAAAAATCTATGTTGTTTGTCGCACACTCCACATGTTTTGATATATTAAGTGCACATGCCTGACTTTATATAAACATTATTATGAAATAGTATTCGTGCAGTCCTCTTTTTTTTTTTGTGTGTTTATGTGTAAAAGTCAGTAGTCAAATCATCCATATGTGGTCCACAGTTATGCATTAACAAACCTTAGTTGTGTCCGCATTTTGAAGGTAAAAATATCAACTTCATCTAGAAGTAAAATCTCAGGTAAAATAAATATATATAGAGTAAATCAATTATTTACGATGTTAGGATCATAAATCACATGTAATCTTATCGCTACATTTTTTATCATTCCAATATTTTTTTTTAAATAAAAAAATACATGAAAAATACAACTCTTCTTTTTTTATCCTATGTTTATATATCATATGTGCTATTCATGTCTCAAATAAATCTTGTGATTTTTTTTTTCTTAAAGAAGAGCTTGGTAGGTAAAGGTGTGCTTTATGCACCATAACCAATACAGCTTATTGTAGTTGTTATGGTACAAATAGTTAGTTGGTTTCAAAACTCGTCACCTTTAGCCCTGCTCCTCTGTTGTTGGTAAGCTAATCAGAAATTAACTTACTTGTTAACTTTAAGTGGTAGTAAAAGCCTGAGCATGCTATGATAAATCACTCCCAAACATAATTTCATTTCCACAATAGGTGAGAGACAGAAAAGGAGCATGGCTGTAGATACTGGGATAACCCATGCTTTGTCAAACCAATCCAAAGTGGGTTCATGTAAACAGTGAGAACATAGATACCATTGTGCCGAATGGTTCTTATCTGCCGTCACATTCTATGTTTCTATGTTTCTATGTTATGCCTATCCCACGCATGCTTAAACTCCCTCACTGTGTTAACCTCTACCACTTCAGCTGGAAGGCTATTCCATGCATCCACTACCCTCTCAGAACAGCACAATCACAGACTCCTTACATCATATTTGTTACAATTAGTTGAAATGGTTATAGTGCTTAGATAGCCCCTTTTAGGGGTTAAAGGATTTAGCTTAAAAGTTCCAAAACAGAAACCTCACTGCCAGGTTTAAGATGCAAACCCCTTTTCTCTGTGTGGTGGGAATGGAGTCATTCATGCAAATTCAGTGACATTTTAATAATACTTTGAGATTTGAATGGTGCATGTTGTTACAGAGAACACAATGTAACTCCACCTACTTAGAGATCTGGTTTGCCTCTCATCCCTCATAAAATATCCTGAAGCCTAAACATAGATATTGGAGATGCTATAAAATAACTTTCAGACAGTTTTTGCTTTAGCCACAAATAGATGTACGGCCTATACCTCGTAGCCATTAATATCTGGTCTTAATAATTCATTAGATGTTGCTCTACAATAACACCCTAATAACATAAATAAATCAGCAGCTATTGCAATATCAGCATTGGTTTGCTATTGGTGATTCTTGGCATGCATGCGCTATTTTGATGTCACACGATGACATAGCAGGGAAGTGGCACATATCTGCCAATTCAATGTATTGCTCTGGCCTTTTTACAGAGAGTGCCATTTGTGTTTGGTGATAAGACAGGTTATAAACTGTATAAATTCATTTTAGTATGGTGCATAAACATAATGGATTCATGCATTACAAATTCTAACTTCACATTTGGAAAACCAATTTACCAAGTCACATGAATGCAAATGAGGCCTGTTAGAAAGAGTCTTTATCTTTATTTTGTGATACTGTGATTCAAATTCCAATATGAGTATGATTGTGTCAGCCGTGCCAATGTAAGGCTTGAGCATTACAGCTATGAAGTAGGGATCGACCGATATTGATTTTTTAGACCCGATACCGATACCGACAATCTGTGAACTTTCAGGCCAATATCCGATAACTTACCGATATACTGTACATTTACCATTTTGAAAAACATAAACTATTTCTAAAGGTAAATGCACAAAATATACATGCCACATGTAGTGGATGCAGTGTGTTTAGACAGGGGAGCTTTTGTGTTTGTGTAGTGTGTGTATAGTGGATGCAGTGTGTATTTGTGTAGTGTGTATATAATGAATGCAGAGTGTGTTTGTGTAGTGTGCAGATGAATGTAGTGTTTGTGTAGTGTGTATATAATGAATGCAGAGTGTGTGTTTGTGTAGTGTACACAGAATGAATGTAGTGTGTGGTGTGCGTAAAGTGAATGCAGTGTATGTGTAAAGTGAATGCAGTGTGTGTTTGTGTAGTGTGTGTATAGTGAATGCAGTGTGTTTGTGTAGTGTGTGTATATAATGCAGTGTGTTTGTGTAGTGTGCATTATATAAACAAACACACTACATTTTATACACACACTACACAAACACACTACATTATATACACACACTACACAAACACACTCTGCATTCACTATATAAACTGTGTTTATATAATGCAGTGTGTGTTTGTGTAGTGTGTGTATATCATACAGTGTGTTTGTGTAGTGTGCATTATATAAACACACTACACAAACACACTGCATTATATACACACACTGCATTCACAATACACACACTACACAAACACTGCATTACAGTGGCGGCTCTAGACTTGGCGAGGCCTTAGGCGAAACTCATACATGAGGCCCCCACTAACACCATTATTGGAAAAAAACAGCAGTTGACTTTTGTGTGTATAAGAAGCTGTAGATATATTGAAGGGTGGGCTTGCAGTACTGGATATAGAGAACTAGTCTATGTATACGTCGTTGCATTGTCACGACGTATACATAGACTAGTTCTCTATATCCAGTACTGCAGAGGAGGGGGGTGACAGGGTGAGGGGGTGACAGGGTGTTGACAGATGGGGTGACAGTGTGAGGTGGCAGGGTGAGGGGGGGTCAAAATTTACCTTTTTCCCTGGTGGTCCAGTGGGGTCAATCTGTCCCTGGTGGTCCAGTGTCCTGGATGGCTCCCTGGTGGTCCAGTGGGCTTTCCGGTCTGCAGCTCCGCCGGATGCAGAGCTGCAGACCACATGAGGAATGTCTTGCGATCTCCATTCAGAGCATTGCCGTGGTAACCCGCGGCAACGCTCTGATTGGCTGGAGAGCACGAGACACCTCAGTCTGCAGCTCACACCCGGCGGAGCTGCAGACTGAGGCCGGCTCTCTCCCCGGGCGGACTGACAGGAGGGGCCTCGCACCCGGCGGCACAAAGGGCAAGCCGCCGGGCCCCCTCCTGTGTCGGGTCCTCGGTCATAGACCAAGAACCCGACATATCAGTCTGCCCTCAGGCGATTTAGGCGGGCGCGAGGCCCCTGACTGCGTGAGGCCTTAGGCGGACGCCTAAATCGCCTAATTAGAGAGCTGCCTCTGCTGCATTATATAAACATACTGCACTGCATTATATACAGTGTGTTTATGTAGTGTGTTTATATAATACAGTGTGTGTGTTTTTGTAGGTGTGTAATTTGGGGGTAGGTGGGCATTTTTTTAAATTGATTTATTTAAAATATTTAATTATTAATTTTTCTGTTTTAGCCAGGAAGGGGGGATATAGCATTCCAGTGGTCCACTGGTGGTCCAGTGGCATGAACTGTGCAGTGGGGGCCCGCAGGAAGCGCTTACTTACCTTCCCAGCAGCTCCCTTCAGCTCCCCTGTGTAAATCTTGAGGCCAGCGTGCCGCGCGGAGTGTTGCCATGGTAACCCGTGGCATGGTAACCCTGTGTAAATCTTGCGGCCAGCGTGCTGCGCGGAGCGTTGCCATGGTAACCCGTGGCAACGCTCTGACGGCTGCGGGACCCGCGAGATTTACACAGGGGAGCTGAAGGGATCTGCTGGGAAGGTAAGTAAGCACTTGCTGCGGCCCCCCCAGGACCGCCGTGTTTGTCATGGGCCCGGCAATCCTGGTATGTATTATCGGCAATATCGGTATCTCTATAGGCCGATACCGATATTGCCGAAAATACAGAATATCGGCCGATAATATCGGCCAGATCGATAATTGGTCGATCCCTACTATGAAGAAGATAAGGTGTTATCAAGAAGTTACTATTTGGTATATCTGGAGCATAAAAATAAAAAATAAAAACATGATGTTGACTTACAGCAATATTCTCTAAAGTACAACAATCATATTTAAGGCCAAAGTATCCAAGCATTGCTGTCTTAGATCATATTTCCAGTTCTGCAATGGTGGCATAAATTTGGAAATTATCTTATTTTAATGAATAACCCTGGAAGTTCAGTGTACTTTGTCTTCACAAAGTGGCTTTTTACTTTGGGCACTAAAAACATATGGGACTTATTGAGGAATGGGATTTGTAATACTATTTTTAAAGAAATACCTATAGTTGTACATGTAGGCTTTGGATTTCCTATTTAAACATTTATTTAAACAGTAGAGGCCTGTCCATAGGAGCATTTTGGGCAGCACCTCACCACAGTGCATCTGCAGTGCTATAATACAACAGCACACACCGGTTCACTGATAATGAGTGATTGCTGTCTGGATAAGCTGTTGAAAGCAATTGGGCATGTGTAGAATATAGGTCGTTTTTCAAATTTTGTACAATCAGAGAGATATACCTCCCAGCAGGGCATCTTATTTGAACACCCAGTGTATGATAGTTCAATAGTCTTTGGAAAAAGTAATAAAAAGCACCGAATACAAGATAGCCTAGAGGCAAAGGGTCACTATAGTCACCAAAACAACTTTAGCGTAATTAAATAGTTTTAGTGTATAGATCATGCCCCTCACTGCTCAATTCTCTGTTATTTAGGAGTTAAATCACCGTTGCTTATGCAGCCCTAGTCACACCTCTCTGCATGTAATATAATGAGCGTGTAATGTTAAGTTTGTGAATACAGTTCCTGCCTGGGTAGGTTTCCTTTTTCAGCTCATTTTGTACTCATCAGATGCAGAGCTTGTAATTTCAATTACTACATTGTGTTTTTTTTCTGCTAAAAATGTTACTTCAAGTGTCATGTTATCAATTATGTATGTTATTAATATATTTAGTGCTAAGCGTGGCCCAAACATGTAACTAAGTCCCTCACTCTTCATGGGCCAGCCAGGAGATCGGAGAGCTCCCTCGTCAGCCCACATACTAAGACTGTGACATGCAGAGCGGCGATTAGACTGGAGTCTCACCTCCAGCTGGGGGGCCGAATAGGGCATATTCTCGCAAGCTCCAGTTACTGAGAGCCATAGGCGTGCGCAGCCTATTGCATTAGGGTGTGCACCCTAAAGCACAAGCACACGCCGCATATATATATGTATATATGTGTATATATATATATATATATATATATATATATATATATATATATATATATATATATATATATATATATATATATATATACACACATACATACATACACATATATACACAACACACATACACACACTGCTGTGTGTGTGTGAGGGTGCTGTTAGTGTGATGTGTGTGTGACGGTGCTGGTAGTGTGCTATGTGGGTGAGGGTGTTTGTGTGTGCGCGCTTGTGAGGGTGCTGTTAATGTACTGTGTGTGAGGGTGCTGTTTGTGTGTGTGTGCGCTTGTGAGGGTGCTGTTAATGTACTGTGTGTGAGGGTACTGGTAGTGTGCTGTGTGTGTGTTTGTTAGGGTCCTGTTTGTGTTTGTAAGGGTATTGTTAGTGTGCTGTGTGAGGGTGCTGTTTGTGTGCGGTGTGTGAGGGTGCTGTTTGTGTGCTGTGTGTAAGGGTGCTGTGTGTGTTTGTGAGGGTGCTGTATGTGTGTGTGGGTGCTGTATGTGTGTTGGTGCTGTGTATGTGTGTGGTGCTGTATGTGTGTGAGGGTGCTGTATGTGTGTGCTGTGTGTGTGTTTGTTAGGGTCCTGTTTGTGTTTGTGATCGTACTGTTAGTGTGCTGTGTGAGGGTGCTGTTTGTGTGCTGTGTGTGAGGGTGCTGTTTGTGTGCTGTGTGTAAGGGTGCTGTGTGTGTTTGTGAGGGTGCTGTATGTGTGTGTGGGTGCTGTATGTGTGTTGGTGTTGTGTATGTGTGTGGGTGCTGTATGTGTGTGGGTGCTGTGTATGTGTGTTGGTGCTGTATGTGTGTTGGTGCTTTATGTGTGTGGGTGCTGTATGTGTGCTGGTGCTGTGTATGTCTGTGGGTGTTGTATGTGTGTGTGCTGTATGTGTGGGGGTGATTGTGGGGGTACATTACTTGATAACCCACCCTCCCTTCTTACCTTATGTAGGGAGGGGGGATTGTGCTGCTGCTTTCCCTGGTGGTCCAGTGGAGAGTGAACTCTAGCCCCTATGGGGCTAGAGTTCACCTATGGGGCTAGACTTCACTCTCACGATATTTGAGCGTTGTTGTGGCATATCTCGCGAGAGAAACCCGGCGGAGCTGCCGGCAATAGCTCCCCGGGTCCTCTCCTGCCTCCCTCCCTGCATGTGGGTCGGTGGGGAGGGAGGCTGAGAGCAGAGCCGGTGCTCGGATAGCGCCAGCTCTGCATGAGCCAACAGGGGAGATCCTGTGATCTCCCCTGCCGGTCTCAATATACATAGGCGTGCCGCGGGGATTAGGGTGTGCCCAGGCACACCCGGCACACCCCGTGCGCACGCCTATGCTGAGAGCATTGCTGTGGGTTACCATGGCAAAGCTCTCAGTAACGCTGGAGTTCCTCAGAGGTAAGTGGGCCTCCAGCCACAGAGTGCACTGGATCACCAGGATGTTATCCCTGATCCACCTCCCTTGGCCAAAGGTAACAAAAGAAAGGGGGGATATTTCTTCTTCTTTTTTTTTTTTTTAATGAAATTATTTGATTTTTTAATGTTATTATTTTCTTCCAATCTGCAGCCTAAACCACTATGCCCCCACACAACAAGCCCATAAATACACACAAAAGTTCCAAACACACACACACAAAACCATTACAATCCAAACTCACTGTAGCCCCTGTATGCACACTACAGCCCATATGTGCACACACACCATCTAGACTACACAAACTACACACTATAGAAAAATACAGACACTACACACGCTAGACTCACACACACTCTATAGTGTCTAGACACACACACTAGAGCCCCTAAAAAAACAAACTACCTTAAACACGACATTACAGCCCCTATACACACATGCTACAGCCCAAAGATACACCCACATGCACATGCTTTTTCGCTCTCTCTCTACAACAGCTAAGCACAAACACACATACAATCTCTACAGCCCCTGTTTACACACACTTTACATCCAGTGTAAACACAAGGCAGTGTTTACATGAAAATGCTTACAGGGACAGGCCTTAAACACCAGAACAGGTCCAGCGTCAATCATTCAGACGGCCTCTAGATGTGCTTCATAGGGCAAATGCTGCACAATGGGTAGCACTAAACGTTCACCGTTTCCATGC